ATTCCTGCTTTCCTCACAGGCTTATCAAAATGGTCCACGGGTCAGAGGAGATGAACGTCCTTGATGGGTGTGGTTCCAGGCTTTCCTCCTGAAACCTCCTCCTTTCTCTGACCATCAGCCTCCAGAAGGCCAAGGCTGACCCACCACCCCACTATTTTTCCCTTTCTCTTCTCTCTGCATCCTTCACAGAGGACATCTGTCATGCTGGTCACCCTGATGAAAATGCTCTAAACACCTTCATGCACCACTATTAATTCATTCACCTTACATAACTGATGCCCTAGTATGTTCCAGATATTAGGAATATGGTAGTGTATAGGACAGCCAAGATCCCTGCCCTCATGGAGCTCATAAGCCACCAAGAGGAGACATATAATAGATGAACAAATTTTAAAATGTGGATAGTGATGTAATGAAAGAAATAAAACAGGATGATAGGGTGATGTGATAGAGAGTGGGCATACACTTTAAATTTGAGTGGTCAGGAAGGGACCACTGAACTGAGACCTGAACAACTCAGGCAGAGGAAACAGCAAGTGTAAAGGTCCTGAGGTGGGTTTGAGCTTGGAATGTTTAAACAAAAGAAAGGTCAGTGTGCCTGGGCTTATTCAAACTCCTACCTATCCTGCTTAAGAGTTGTCACCTCTGTGAGGCCTTTTTGGATCACCACCCCACCCCTTACTCGCTAATTCAGCTGCACCCAATTTCCACACCCTTGTGGTCACAACTAATTCTGACCACGCTGATTTGTGATCAACTCTTTACACACTGGACTGAGAGCTCCTTGAAGCCAGGGACTATCTCCATAACTCCACCAGCCAGCACGCTTCAGGCATATAGCAGGTGATCAGCATCTACTGATGAATGAATAAATTAACCAATAGGTAAACGAATGAATGAGTATCAGGTCCAAATGGCTCACTTCTTTACTTGTTTAAGCGTCGCCTTCTCAAATTCCCTGGTCACACTGCAACTGCACCCTCCCCCCACACAGCACTCCCTATCCTCTCATAGTACAGATCACCTTCTGATATACTATATAATAATGTGTTTACTTGTTATGTTTCTTGTTTTCCCCTGACTCCCCATGACAGATTGTAAACATCATCATGTCAGGGACTTTTTTTTTTAAGGGATTTTTGACTGAGTTGTCCACTAATGTCTCAAGAGCCTAGAACAGTGCCTGGCACATAAAAGGCATATGTAGGAACATGTGAGCAAAGGGGTGCATGAATGGGTGAATAAATGAATGAATAGCGACTCTAAGCCTCATACAACAGGGGTCAAAACCTCAAATCCCTTGCTAGCCTGCCCATAACAAACAGACGAAGGAGTAAGTGCCCAGTTGTGACCTTTCAATTCGAGCCAGCTAAACAAAACCCACCCAATGGCCTGCAGGCCCTCAGTGTGCCTTCCTAGGCACTGAACAGAACATTCCCATTTTGTTGGTGGAGAAACTCTGGCCGGGTGGTTTAAGTGGCCTGCAGCGGATGACAGAGCTGGTACTGAACCGTCGTTGATCTCCCCAGTCTTTTCCCCGTCCCCGTGACTCAGATACACTTTCTGAGAGTCTCGCTCTCTTCCCGTAGTCAGAGGTCAGAGCCTGGTGCCCCCAGGAGCTGAGTCTGGTGTCCCAGTGCGTGCTGCAACGGGAATGGGCGCCCGGGTCCCGTGAGTCGCCGGGAGCGGGACTCCCGCCGTCCCCCGAGCCCGCGCCGCGCTCCCGCCCCTGCCCATCCCCGGCCGCGCTGTCAGTCTCCATTAGCGCTAACAGGCTCCAGACAGAGCGGGCCCGGCGCTGGGTTAATGCAATCGGCGCGTTACCTGGGGCGCAGGCTACATTACCAGCCCGGCCCCCGCCCGGCGCGGTCAGAACCAGCCAGCCTGCGCCCCGCCGGCCGCCCCGCGCTTTCAGCGCTCCTCAGGCCGCGCCCGAGCGCCACGCGGCGGAGCCCAGCCCCAGCCCGCGCCCCACAGCCTGGCGAGGCGAGGCGAGGCGAGGCGAGGCGAGGCGGGTCCGGATCAGGCAAGGCAGGGCGCACGGCAGCCGGGATCCCGTCGCCGCCGAACACGTGAGTGCGCCCTGCGCGCGGAACCGAGCTAGGTGTGCCGGGGAGGCCCAGGTTGGGATGCGCAGAGGTAGGGTGCCAGCGAGTTTGAAGTGCAGAGGTAATAAGTGTCCGGGGAGACTCCTGGGGCTCTCGGACGTGGCTCAGACCCGAGCCGAGGGTAGGGGGCAGCCAGCTGCACCCGGCCGGGTCACCGCCCTGGGAAACCTCTGCCTGGACGTGTCCAAACTCCGCCGTTTGGGGACAAGAGAGAGCGGGTGAATGAGGGAAGAGCTGCGGGGTGCCTAGCAGGATCCCTAGGGCGGCAGGGGTGGTCTCCACCTCGAAGTGCCGTCCCAGTCGGGCGCCCCACTACCTCTGCTTCCAAATTTTTCCAACAGACGCGCGCCCTTTTCTAGGAACCTTGCGTCCGCTCAGCGCGCGCCGACCACAGCATACCGGCGCTCCCGGGAGGCCTCGGGAGGCGCAGGCAGGGTGGAAGGGCCCAGTGACCGCATCTTTTCCTTTGATTCCAGCAGAGCCTCGGCGTGCTCCCAGTATCGCCGACTCCCCTCTCGCCAGCCGCACCCATGCTTCTGGCGCGGATGAACCCGCAGGTGCAGCCTGAGAACAGCGGGGCGGGCCCGGGGTCAGAGCAGCCCCAGCGGAAGCGCAAAGCTGCCGAACTCTTGGTGGTGAAAGAGCGCAACGGCGTCCAGTGCCTCCTGGCCTCCCGCGACGGCGACGAGCAGCCCCGGGAGACCTGGGGCAAGAAAATCGACTTTCTGCTGTCGGTGGTCGGCTTCGCCGTAGACCTGGCCAACGTGTGGCGCTTCCCCTATCTCTGCTACAAGAACGGCGGAGGTGAGCCCCCTGACGGGCTGGGGGTTTGTACTTGGGAGGCTACCTGAAGTCCACAGCGGTGTCCGGGGCAGGAGCTGGGATACACACGGGAGGAGAAGAGGAGGCAGAAGGGCAAGTCTGGGACGCAGGAAGGCACTGGATAGGCCCACGGAAAAAGGAGTCCCCTGTGGAACGGGGAAATCGAGGCATGACTTTGGACAGTGATAGGCGCATGCGTGGAAGGACCAGGTTGGGTGAGGAACTCTGACCTTTTGATGGTCCGCAGGAAGGGAGGTGGAGAGCTCTTGCCTGGGCGCCAAAAGTGCCCATGGTGACCCCAACTCCAGCGCTCCAGGTTTGGTAAAGGACTTGGGTACCCTGAAGGCACTTGGGAGGCCCTGCTCCCTTGGGGACAGAAACCCTGGAACAGAGACGCATAAAGAGAAGCTAGTGGCAGAGAGAACTCCACTCTCGGGTTGGTGGTCCTTTGGCTGGAGGGACCAGAGCACACAGCCTAGGCGGGATTGCATCAGTGGGCACCAAGAACTGGCCTGGTCCTTGAGACAGGAGGCCTGGGTGATTGGGATGAAGCCTCTACCTCCTGGGGTCCTGGCCACGTTGCAGGGTGGAGTGGGAGGAAGGCCTGGAGGAGACCCCCCAGTCCAGCAACCAGGCTCTCTCCCCCTCCCCCTGCTGGGTGACCGATTACTGTCTGCCCTGGGATGAGAGCCTTGAAATCAACTATAGCCTACTCACGGGGCAGAGTCCTGGGGGAAGCAGCCCAGGGGGCAGGATACTGGGGCCTAAAGCCCTAACTCCTTCCTGAGAGCTTTTGCCCAAACCACCCCAGACCTGCCCCCTTTGCTGGGATGAGCTCAGGGGTACCCTGTAGAGAGCCTGGGAAAAATGACCCAGAGGAAGAAGTCGGCAAAGGGGTGGCCGCCAGCAACCGAAACACTTTTCTATCCACTGGGCCATCTGCCTGGCAGGGGCTCTGGCTCAGGACTCCAGGGGGTCAGAGGGAGGTAGGGTGAGGGTTTGGAGCTGGAGGGAAAGCTCATGACCTTGTTCCATAGGGTCTGGGCCCCTGCTGGTTGCTTCAGTGTGTACTCTGGACACTTGCTTTGGGTGAGGAATGGAAAACAGATGATCCAGAGGTGAAACTTTTCCTCGTTTGACTGCTGCAGCTTCTCAAGAGTTTCTGGTCAGGTTTAAGCATTCTGGCCCTTTGAACTCAAGGAGGGAGGAAATGCAGATTCTCTGTGTTTTTAGCAGACAGGGAGATGAGGAATGAAAGACAGACTAAGAAAACCTAGGACATTCTGTCTAGCATGTCCTCCATGACTGTCCGAGGCTGCGTGTCCCTAGACAGCAGAAGGTTCTATCGTTAATCAGCAATACTTATTGGGTTCCTCTTGGCATGAGCTACAGTGCTAGGCTCTGCAGGGGTCACCTAGATGTATTAACCACCACTGCTGCCTGCCAGGAGCTCTAGTCATCTAAGGGCTTCATTGTCATGCGCTACACATCATTTCCATTGTTATAAGTATCTGTTGAAACTAAAAGCACCCCAGATGGCCAATTGAACACATCAGCTAGATGGATATTCTGGGGCTTTCACTGACACTGTCCGCTCACTTGGCCACGGCCACCAACTGAGAGTGCCTGCTGTATGCAAGGTAGTGTGTACCAGGCGCCCAGGGCACCAAACACAGCACATTTGTCACACGTTCCAATTTTTAGGTGAAGTTGGCCAGAAGCTCCCTCTCCTAGGCTTGGTAGCCCTGCACATCACCCATCCTGAGTTGTTGAGTCATTTGTCTCTTTGTGAGTCTGTCTTCCAAACAGACTGGGGCACACTGAGAGCAGAGACTGTGGCTTTTTCATGCCTGTATTTCTAATGCCCAAGATAAGGGCTAGATCCTGGCAATGTGGTAGAAGGTGCCCGAGAAACTTCTGTTGAATGAAAAAAGTGAATGAAACGGTTCAAGCCCTCAGAGACCTAATGCCTACCCAGGAACAGCAGAACCCCCGACGCCAACGGCAGGAACTAACAAAGTGAGGCAGCCTGTGCTGGTGGGAGGCGGGGTTGGCACCTAGAGATCAGAAGCCCTGGCTTTGGAGTCCTGGGTTCCAGCTTCTAGCCGTGTGACACTGGGCATCTCTCCAAGCCTCTGTTTCCTCATCTGTCAAATGGAAACAATGGTGTTCAACTCAGAGCGTTGTTGTGAGGACTCAATGTGATAATGCTGTGGAGGGCCTGGCATGAAGCACGGCCTTAGTAAAGATAGCTGCCACCTCTTATTCACATCCTTGCGATGACGCGTGAGATGGATGGGAGAGGTGTCATGTGCTCTAAAGGCCTGAGGAGAGGCTGCTTAGGAAACACTCAGAGGAAGTGAGCTGTGTGGTTGGAACTCAGCTCCTCGGGACGGATGGAGCGCGGACAAGCCTGGGGAAGGGAGCAGGTGTACTAGTTGTTCAAGAATGCAGGAGGGATGGTCTCTGAGATTAGGAGTGCAGACTGGCTGAAGGGCAAGCTGGGAGAGATAAGGGTGGAGAGGCAAGTTGGGGCGAGGCTATGGAGACCGTGGCTGGCAGTTTACGGGGTGGGGAAGTTATACGAGTGAATTTCCATTTCTGGCTAGGATGTCTACGGCTGGCACAATGGAGCGGTGCAGTCCCACATCTCAGAGTCTGAGGCAGCTCCTGTTCTTACTCCGCACCCCTCCAGGGGATGCTTGGCTGCCTCCTTCTGGGCTTTGTCTCTGCTGAGACCTCCTGGCTGCTCCTTGTGGATCAATTCTCATCCAGCAATTATAAAGTCAGCCCTAGAGATGGGCAAGCAGGTTGGCAGGTGGATAGCCTGTAATTCTAGAAGCAGCCAAAAGACCCAAGTTCAAATCCCATCTCTGTCACTCTCTCTGAGCTCAAGTTCCCCGCTACAGCTGGAGGTGAGCTTGGATGACCCCCAAGATCCGTCCCTCTCCAATGCCTGGCTCAGCACTGCACCCAAGCCAGGACTCACGCACGCACCCTGTTATTTAACAGGCTGTGTTCTCTTCTGGTGCCAGTGTTAACACGGTAACCTCCAAGTCCAGCTGTTCAAGCTGGCCCAGACTGGAGGATGTTTTGAAATGATAAAGGTGCCAATAGTTTAGGCCCCTGGCTAATATATATATATATATTTTTTTTGCTAATATTTTTTGAATGAATTACTGAAAAAGATCAACCTGTCCGAGCATCTTCCCATAAGCCAGCTGCTGGGATGCACGGGGGCAAGTGGCTTCCTTCCAGCCGGGAAAGCCACTCTTGGAAATTCCAAGGCTTTGTTCAGAACCTTCTCAAACAGGGAGGCGGTGCCAGTGGGGCTCTTTCCAAGGTCCTCCGCTCCTGTGGTCTTGGGCCAGGCCTGTGCTGGTCCCCAGGGAGGAGTGGACAGATCCATCGAGTCCCCGCGTCTGTCTCCTTGCCATGGAAGAGGCCACTCTGAATTATCCTTTGTAAATGAACGCTTCTGTTTGAGATGTGTCCGGCTGACAGCTCTGAGCTGTCAGAGAGATGTCCTTTAAGTTCAGACAGACCTGAGTTTGAATCTGAGCCTGACACTTCCCAGAAGTGTGGCCTCGGACAAGGCACTCGTCCTTTTTGGACCTCAGTTTCCTTGTGCAGAAAAGGAAGGTGACTGCCTCTCCCCATAGGGTGATATGACATTAGATATAGTATAAGCAAAGTACTTACAACAGTGTCTGACACATAGTAGGGGCTCAATAAATGAAGTTGTTGCTGTTATTTTTATTGTTCAATGATTTTTAACTGCTAGACCCAGGCTAGATACAGGAGTAGGGCAGGGTCCTGATTTTGGAGCAGATTTGATTCTCAGAGGAAGTTAGAAGGGATATAAGGCTGGAAAGTGGTCACACTTGGGCCTGGGATTTCTAACAGCCTAACTTTATCCCACTGTTTTTTCCCTACCTGGGAAATGGGGATTAACATTCCTATATGGGGTCCCATGAGATATGTACTTCTGGGTCCCAAATGGGGTTCCCTTCCTTCCTCAAGTGAGCTCAGCGTCTCAGGTACCCACAGACCTTTGGGAATCCCCTTGGCCGAAATATCTGGGGTTCTTGAGGTCAAGCAAGAGGCGGTGACGGGTACAGAAGGCAGGAGTTTGCAAACTCATCGCCCTCACGTTGGGCCTGGCTGCAGGGGGCCATCTACACCCTGAGCTTGCCAAGCCTGAGGCTGATTGTTCAGCTCAGATGTACATGAGCCAGCCAGCTGGTATGGCCCTTCGGCTAACAAGTTTGCAGGAATGAGGCATTCATCAGGGGCTGGAGCTGAGACTGTGATCTGGCATTACCAGCATGATCTGGCCCATTGCTCTGAGCTGGCCAAAAAGATCTAGAGGGACTGTTTTCAACAAAGTGGGATTTCATAGGGATAAATGTTACATCCTGACCTGTGGTCCCAAACCCAACTGCCTAAGTAAGGATTAGGCCACAGCACAAGTGGAGAAAGGCCCCGGGGCTTTCATTAGCTGCATCCTCTATGTGAGTCACTGCCAGGATCCATTTATTTAACAAAAAAACCCCACTTACTAAATGCCTGTCATATGCCAGGAATATAGAGATGAGCAAAAGGCAATCCCTGCCTTTAGGGAGTTCATAGTCTATTACAGATATTCTACAAGTTAATGTCATTTTCAATTCTGTTATTGGAGGTACTATATCCCAAATCAGGGAGGTGAGGTTCCACTCTGTTCTTTGTGAGTAATATTTCCTTCTCTAATATAGTTCTGACCATTCCAAACACCCTGTAATTTGTTCCTCTTAAAGAGACCAGGATGGAAGAGATGGGAAACCAGAATCTTCGAAGAGCTTCATTAGTAAGAATCAAGTCAGATACTGCAAAGTTGACACGGAGGGAGAATTGTCACAGGAGGAGGGGTAGCCTCAACTCCAATTTCCCTGAATTTCACCCCCACGGACCTCCTTAGAGGGGCGGGGTTTAATCTACCG